TGAAGAGTTTAAACAGTAGTGGCAGTAGTTCCTCTCTAAATGTCTTGTAGAATTCAGTAGTGAAGCCATCAGGGCCCAGGCTTTTCTTAGTTGGTAAGTTTTTTGTTTTTTGTTTTTGGTACCAGAGATCGAACTCCGGTACTTGCACTTGTGAGGCAGGCAGTGGAATCACTAAACTAAATCCCCGGCCCTGGTAAGTTTTTAATTTCGTTTTCAATTTCATTGATTGATATTATTGATATTGGGTTGTTTAGAATTTTTAGGTCTTCTTTATTCAACTTTGGTAATTCATATATATCTGTCCATTTCTTCTGTGTTTTCCATCTTATTGGCGTATAGATTCTTGAAGTAGGTATTGATGATCCTCTAGATTTCTGCTGGATCCATTGTAATTTCATCCTTTTCATTCCTCATTGCATGGATTTAGGCCTTTTCTTTTCTTTTTCTGATAAGGTTGGCTAAGGGTTTGGCAATTTTGTTTATTCTTTTGAAGAACCAACTGTTGGCTTCATTGATTTTTTTTTTGTATTATTCTCTTAGTCTCCATTGCATTGATTTCTGCTCTGATCTTTGTAATTTCCTCCCTTGTATGAGCTTTGGGTTTGTCCTGCTCTTCTTTTTCTAGAAGCTTGGGGTTCATCATCAGGTTGTTTACCACTTTTTTTTTTGTGGCTCCTCTTCTTTGTCAATACTTGCTAGCCTAAATTTTCAATCTCCTTTCACTTGGATACCTGCTATCTATTCCCTGTGTTCATATTTAATAACTCTGTATCATCTGTTGGTTTGTTGTTTCACCCTACTTTCTGCATTTGCTTTTAGTCACAATATATACACAGAATATAGAGATACAAGATAGATAGATAGATAGATAGATAGATAGATAGATAGATAGATAGAATTCTTCTTTGATAAGTTGCTTAAAATCTGTTCATGAATTTAACTGGGCTGTACCCCCATTTGGGACCTTGCTGTTTCTAGGTATATGTGGTCACCTCCCCCACCACAAACACACACACACTCACGAGGAACACATTTTACTGAGGAAGAGGACTGAGAGTCATGGTGGTGTCATGGGGAAGAGCACAAGATAAAATGAAGTTCTGAGGTGTGTGGCTTACTAGCGGAGCTCATTAGCTGCTAAGGAAAATCAGGTATGTTTTCATATTTATTCGCTTTTATTTTTCCAGTGGTTGAGGGGCTCATGTGTAAACAAATGCTCTGAAATTACATTCAGAACATTTTTTTCTATCGGTTCAGTTAAACCAGAAAATATTACTTTGTGTGTTCTAAATAATACAACACATTAAACAAGATGCAGAGGCAAAACACAAGGCTTTTGAACAAGTTCTAACCCAAACCTGCTTTTCTTTTCCTCTACTTATTTGTGCCTGAGATAGGTCCTAACCCCTTCTGACTCAAATTTCCATCTGCAAAATAAGCATCCCAACACAAACAATCATGCCAATACCTTGATTTTGGAATTCTAGGTTTCAAAAATGCATGAGAGACAATACATATTTGCTATTTTAAGCCACCTGGTTGGTGGTCCTTTCTTATAGTAGCCTTAGGGAACTAATATTCTTTTTTTACAGTTCCACTTAACTTTATTAAGCTCATATGAAGGAAACAGATTCAGAAGACATTTTTTTAAAAAACGCTATGAACAACACTTAATTCAACAACATTGAATGAACAAAAAGAGATCCACAGTTTTAGTTCTATTCTCACACTGAGAATATGAACTGTAAGACAAAGGGAGATTGGTTTCTAATTATTTTTCCATATCTGATTTATATTCAGCATTCTTTTGACAAGTAACAAAATCAAGAAATAATTTCCTGAGCAATCTAAAATTCCAGAAGCAGAAGAAGAGAGCCTACTTTCAGACAGGTTGTTAAATCAAATAATGGAAGGCAAGTCACAGGACAGTGAATACCAGATTCTACTGGGGTTTAGCAGATCCTGGATCAATATCATTCCTTCATAATCCGTACCTTCCTCATGGAGAAGCATTCACAGCCACTAGCCCACTGTTCCCAGCCCATTCAATACACACAATGAGCTTTACTGCATATTTTTTTCTTCTAGAGTCTTCTGCTTACAATTCCAA